TCTCTTTTGATCATAGTAAAAATGTATCTGACAATTTCAGTGTCTGGAAATTGTTTATCTCTGTTGCCTTATTGCCTTATGTTTGCTGGTTATCATTTATGTTGTCTTGATTCTTGTGTGCCTTATTATATGCCAGATATTACATTTGAAAAAATATATAGAAATAATTTCATGTCTATGAGATGTTATCTTTCTCCAAAGAGTTTTCTTTCTTTCTTTTTTTTTTTTTGAGACAGGGTCTCACTTTGTCACCCAGGCTGGAGTGCAGTGGCATAATCTCTGCTCACTGCAGCCTCGACCTCCTGGGCTCAAGCGATCCTTCTGCCTCAGCCCCCTAAGTAGCTAAGATTACAGGCGCCCACTCCCATGCCAGGCTAATTTTCATATTTTTAGTAGAGACAGATTTTCACCATATTGCCCAGGCTGGTCTTAAACTCCTGAGCTCAGGCAATCTGCCTGCCTCAGCCTCCCAAAGTGCTGGAATTACAGGCGTGAGTCACCATGCCCAGCCCAAAGAGGTAGTTCTTATTTGCTTTTGTCAGGTGTCTTGGCTGTAACAATCTTGGAGCTGAATAGAAAAATCAGGAGGTTGAAATCATCAGGGGCCGAGCAGAAAGCCCTGTGAGGCTGCTCTGCTTCTATCTCTCCCTTATTCCTAGGGCAGCTCTTTGAGGTCTTAACCCAGTTTGGAGAGATTTGCCTGAGGCCCTCCTCCCAACCCCTTGGAAGGCTCTGAACATCAGTTTTTCTTGTGTCTTGGGCCCAGGGACGCTGTCAAAAGTCTTGATCAGTCTCTCAATCACCTCTATTGAAATCAGCAAACACTCCCAGAGGAGACAGGATTGGGGTAACCTCTCTGGATTTCTGTTCTCCTGGATCTTGCCTGGTAAATCTCTTCTACTTTGCTAGCTCTCTGATGCCTTTGAGGTAGTTGCTTTTTGTTTTTGCTTTTGTGTATTTCATTTACCTCTCCTACCTGTCCTCGGCAGGAGGAGGCTGGTCCAGTACCTACAGTACCTATTGCACTGTTCTAGGAAGTCGATTGCAGCTTCCTGCTCATGGATGATGACAGCAGGATGGAATTCCCTGCTCAGGAGGACCACTAGGCATTTTCTGCTCCAGACCCTCTACACCGTGGTGAGCCTAGGCCCAGGCCACGTGCAGTAGAAAGGCCTAGACTGTGAAATCAGATGGGCCTGAATTAAAATCTACACTTGGTCACTAGATGGAAAGCAGAAGGCAAATGATGTCATTTTTGAGTGTGAGTTTCCTCATATGGGAAAAGAAATGGAGAGAAATCTCTCCAGCAGGTATGATTGGGAAGCTCGGATGAGTCCACACAGTGAAAGTATACACAGTCCCCATGGAGACTAAGCCCAGGCTTTGTGCACAGTAGGCACTTATGAAGTGCAAGTGAACGATCAGAATGGTTAATAACCACCAGCCAAGGTAGAAAGTAAGCAATGCCAGCCAGGAAGCCCTTGGGAAAGAGGTTAGATACAGGACGCGGGAACGGTATCCAGACAGACGGATCAGCATGAATAAAGCTCAGATGAAGGAACTTGAGGGACTAGCACAGGAGAAGCAAGTGCCAGGGTCTGGCCGGAACACAACACGCCATGGGAAGTCAGCAGGCACAGAGTCAGGCCTCCAGGCCAGACAGCCGCAGCCCTGCATGCCAGGGTGGGGAGCCTGCCTTTTACAGGCGTGGCCACTAGCCCTGATGCACTCTGAACTTCCAGAAGGCCAGCTGCACAGCCTGTAGCAGATGAAGGGGGTGAGTGGGGATGAGGAAGAATAGGAGGCAAAGGGACAGATGGCGAGAGAGAACGTTGAGGGCTGCTTCAAGAGCCCAGGTGACAATCTGAATGTGAACAGTCAAGGGCTGGATGAGGCAGAGGCTGTCTTGGGGGTGCTGTGTGAAAGCTCTGCCACCCTACCCCGCAGGGCCCCTGCAGACTCACAGCCGTAAGGGTTGGTGCTTTTAAAGGTGACATCAATGGGGAAGTTCCACACCAGTGCTTGCCGCACATCTTGGCTCTTGGACGTGATCTGTGAGATCCCCTCCTCCAGACCCTGTGGGGACAGTGACAGAGATGGCTGGATTCAGAGCAGAGCCAAGCTGCTGCGGCTCCTCCCCTTATCTTCAGCAGGCAGTTGGGAGGGCTGTTTTCTCAGCTATCTTCTCCCAATACACTAACTTCCAAACAAAGGGGGCTAAGAGATGATGGAGTACCTCTTAAGCCTGTAGCATGACAATGCCGTAGCATGACAACCCTGGGAGGCCAGCCACTCTCCTGGGCCCAAGGGCACTAGATCTGTTCCCAAGCTCTTGTTCCCCCTGAAGGAAATGGTCCAGCAGTGCTTGCACTCTCCTGCATCCCCACCCTCACCCGAGTATCCCCATCGGTAAATATAGATGTATTTTCTCCATCAAAAACAGTCATTTTTCAACTCTGCTGCTTCTTCCACCCACCAATCCATTCTCTGCTCCCTTTATAGCAAAACTGCTTCAAAGAGCTGCCACAATTACCGGCTCCAATTCCTCCCCTGCTATTCTTTTGTGACCCCACTCCAATGTGACTGCTGGCTCCAGCACTCGACCAAAGGGTTTTCTCCAATAACGCCTGTGACCAACATTGCTAGATCCAATGGTCCGTTCTCTGTCCTCGTGTTACTTGACTCATCAGCGGCACCTGGTGCAGCTGCTTACTCCTTGATACACCGTCTTCCCTTGGCTTCTGGGTCTCTCCACCGCACAGGGTGGCCTGTGCTCCGTGGCTCTTGCTGGTTCCTTCTCAGTGTTGCCGTCCTAAGGCTGCATCTTTGGCCAGCTCGTCTACCTGTACTTGGTGATCTCATCCGTCTCATGGCTTTCAATGTGTTCTAGATGTCGACGATTCCCAAATTCAGGCCTCCAGCCTGGTCCTCGCCTCTTCACTCTGGATCAGCACCTCCTCTTGGATATCCAGTGGGTGCCTCAACCTTAACCCACACCAGGCTGAGCTCCAGGTCGCTCTCCCCAATCTGTTCTTCTCACTGAAAGGCAGCTGCCCACTTCTAAGTGCTCAGGCTAAAAGCCCTGCTGTGAATCCTAACTGCTCCTTCTCTCAGACCTCACATCTATCAGAAGAAGTCAGCGGCTCTAACTTCAGAGTATACTTGCAGTCCAGCCCCTCCCGCCACCCCACTGCTGCTGCCCTACTCTCCCATCTCCACTGCTCTCAGAGCCAACTGGGTTGCCCGCTCTTGCCCTTTCCCCGAGTCTATCCTTGTCGTAGAAGCCAGGGAATCTTCTAAAAATATAAGTCAGATCACTTTCTTCTCTGCTGAAAGCTCTCCAATGGGATCCCATCTCCCTCTGAGTAAAGGTCACAGTCCTTACTCTGACCTTCTAAGTTCTACAAGACCTGCCCAGGTGCCCCTCTGCTCCAGCTCCAGCCACTCTCCTGCTGGCTTGCTCTCCAGTGGCCACACAGCCTCCTTTCTGGTCCTCAAACATGCCTGGCAAGCTCCTGCCCCAGGGCCTTTGCACTCTCTGCTCTTTCTGCCTGGACAGTTCTTACGGGTTTCCACATGGCTTGTTCCCTCACTTCCTTCAGGTCTTTACTCGAAAGTTACTTTCTCGGCAAGGCCCGCCCTGGCAGCCTTAGCAAGATCGCAGCCTCCCTCTCATCACTCATCCCTGTCACTTCCTGGCTTGGTCTCTCTTCAGCACTTCTGGCTTACTAACATCCTAGAATATGCACTCCTTATTATCTGACCCCCCAGCAAGAACATGCACTCCGGGAAGGCAGGGGCTTCTGGTTTGGCTTTGCTCACCCCTGCATCCCCGGCACCCAGAAGACAATCAGTGAAGGGAAAAGATGGGTTATCATCTCAGTTGTACAAACAAGGAAACTGAGGCTCAGAGGGCTTAAATAAGTTCAGCCTCCTTTTCTTTTCGTTTTTTTTTTTTTTTTTTTCTTTTGAGGCAGAGTCTCACTCTGTCGCCCAGGCTAGAGTGCAGTGGTGCGATCTCCACTCACTGCAAGCTCCGCCTCCCAGGTTCACACCATTCTCCTGCCTCAGCCTCCCGTGTAGCTGGGACTACAGGTGCCCACCACCACGCCCAGCTAATTTTTGTATTTTTAGTAGAGACGGGGTTTCAGCATGTTAGCCAGGATGGTCTCGATCTCCTGACCTCGTGATCCACCCGTCTCGGCCTCCCAAAGTGCTGGGATTACAGGTGTGAGCCACCGTGCCCGGCCAGCCTCCTTTTCTTAAACTGCAATGAAGGTGAAATAAGCACTCTGCAAACAGCAGAGTGCACAGTGGGCTGAAGTCGTTACCATAGTCCCTTACCTGGTGGAGGCGAGCTACCCCTTGGAAAGTCCTGGAAGGAAAGCTCCTACTCTGTCTTCTGACTCCAGGTCCTCCCCACTGGCTGAGGAGGGGCCAAATGGTGAGCAGACTGGCCAGAGTGTCCACAGCTCAGCCACAGCCAGGCTGGCTCACTGGGGCCTGCCTCCTGCTGCAGGCGTTGCTCTTTGCTGCTCCAGGCAAGCTCACAGGGTAGGGCGTGTGAGTGCAGTCTTGGTGGCTGGATCAGGGAGTCCAACCGTGGCTATGTCCTCTGCTCCCGCTTTACCAGGAACACTCATGTTTGGGTTCCCCTGAACTCAGTGTCTACCTCTCAACTGGTTCTGAATCAGGAGGGGAAGGGTATGACACCTTCAGAAACCCCAAAGGTCATGAAGGCAGTAAGGGAGGCCCAAGAGTCCAGCTTACCGCTGTGGGGGCCCAGTCCTGGCCGTACACAAAGCAGTACTTGCAGTAGAGGTCATCATACTCTGGAAACTGAAAAAAGCACAGACAGATTCTGTCGACTGGTGGTATTCATGCTAAGGCCAACGCATTTGCTAGGCAGGTGCAGCCAAGAGGAATTCTGAATGTCAGACACCTGGGAGTGGGTCTAAGCGACAGCTGGAGATGTGCACGTGGCGTTCAGAGGAGAGGCTGAGGACCAAGATGCGGGAGTCCATGGGAGACTCCCAAGTGCCACAGCCCCTGGCTTTTGCTCAGGCTCTGCCTTCTGTCTGATTTGTCCTTCCTACTTCTTCATCTGGGAAACTCTTGCTCACCCTTCAAAACTTACCCTTCAGGGAGCCTGCCCTAACTCAGGCTGGTTTAAGGTCTCCTCTTGGCTCCCTTAGCCCTGTGCTTCCCTCCATAAAAGCAATGATTGCCTGTGTCTAAGTCTGTCAGTTCCTCTAGACCATGAGCAGAGCACAGATTTAATGCCTTTCTGTGTCCCCACTGCCTGGCACAGGGCTGGGCACAGATAAGGTCTAAGGCAGGGATCCCCAACCGGTACCAGTCCGTGACCTGTTAGGAACGGGCCCACACAGCAAGAGGTGGGCAAGAGGTGAGCAGCAGGCGAGCAAGCAAAGCTTCATCCGTACTTACAGCTGCTCCCCATTGCTCGCATGACCATGGGAGCTCCACCTCCTTATCAGATCACTGGCAGCATTAGATTCCCATAGGAGGGCGAACCCTACTGTGAACTGCACATGTGAGGGATCTAGGTTGCATGTACCTTATGAGAATCTAATGCATGATGATCTGTCACTCTCTACCATCACACCCAGATGGGACCATCTAGTTGCAGGAAAGCAAGCTCAGGGCTCCCACTGATTCTACATTATGGTGAGTTGTATAATTATTTCATTATTATTTACGATGTAATAATAATAGAAATAAAGTGCACAATAAATGTAACGTCCCCAAATCATCCCAAAACCATCCCTCGCCACCTCCTGTCCATGGAAAAATTGTTTTCCACGAAACAATTGGTGCCAAAAAGGTTGAGAACCACTGGTGTAAGGGAATGGTGCTGAACAGAAAGGTCTGAGAAGCCATCATATGCAAGACTGGAGCTGAGGCCCGAAGAGAGGGAGGTGCTGAGAGCAGAGGAGGGAGGAACAGTGTGACTGTGAGTATGTGTGTGTGGGGGGGTCAATGATGCTGAGAGCACAGACACATGTGACTCAGCCCAGCGGAGAGCCCCTCATGGGATAGAACAGGAGAGTGGGGAAAGATGGTCTTAGGCACTAGGCTAAGGCAGAGGCGGACAGGGTGGGAGCATAGAGTAGTATCCCTGATGAAACAGGAAGGCAGGAGACACCTACAAAGCATCAGGCCCTGTCAGAGCCTTATCCAAACCGTCTCAGTCAATCCTCACAATAATATAATAAAATAATAATAAACACCACCTCCAACAGCCTGGAATGACAGTGTAGTGAAGCTTTGAGGTCAGATAGGCGTGGGTTCAATTTTCAGACAGAATAGTTCCTTTGGTATGTTTCCCCGGCTGTAAAATGGGGGTGTTAGTAGTGACTGTCTGGCAAGATTGTAAGGATGGACCAGTGCCCAGCACCAACTTTGGGACATATTGAGGACTTGGTGAGCGTTGGTTTATATTTACAATAAATGATTCCTCTAAAGTGTAGGGGGATGGAGAGTAGCGTCCCTCAGGCCTGGCAGGCACACCTTCCTTGGGTTATTCCAGGCCACCACCATCGTTGGATGGTTGGATTCGAACCCGAGTCCAAGGATCTAGGGATTCAGAACGTAGGACAGTAGCTCCACATCGGACACGGCGCAAATGCTGGAAACTCAGCCAAGCCTAGGCTCCACGCGTTACACCCTGGGAGACTCCTGCCAGTGATCCAACCAAGTGGGCATGATCCGTGCGAGGGTCCACAGGCCTGGGACCTCGGTACTAGCTCAACATCTCGAGGTCTGCTTCTATTCCTGCCCATCGGGACTCAGGATCCCGGCAACCTCGCGCCAAGCCCTCCAATGCTGGCTCCCCTCCCCCGCCTAATCGAGAGGCTCAGAGGAATGACGTGGCTCTCCGGGGGCCACGGGGCAACCTGGGGGGTTGCGGGAAGGGCCCCGGGGGACGCTGGGGGACGGGCCCCAGCGGGGTCCACGGCCGCTCACCTGGGCGCTCTCCACCTGCCCGTTGACCATGAGTAGAAAGACGCTAGGACTCGCGGTCGCCATGGCAGGGCTGGGGGTTCCGGGGGGACCCACCTAGGCCGCGCGCGGTTGCTAAGAGACGCCGGCGTTGCCCTAGAAACAGACGGCGTAGCGCGCAGGACACGTTTCTTGGCAGCGACACCTTCGCGAAGGCCACGCGCGCGTGTGTGTGGGTGTGGGTGTGGGTGTGGCTGTGTGGCAAGCGCAGGCGCAGTGAGCAGGCGCCGTCATAAGGGGGCGAGGCTTTTGCGGGGCGGGGGACAAGGGGGCGGGGCTCCACACCGAGGCTCCACCCCTCCTTGGGGCAGATATGACCGAGACGTGGGACGGGAGCGTTGACCTGTGGGGTAAAGCCAGCCCTACCGCTCGACTCAATTGCACCCTCAGGGAGTGTGTGTTCATTCTGACTCGGCCCGTCTCCACCTCCCCGCCGAAGCGCGGAGGCAAATGAGAGCTGAGTCCTGGGGAGCAGCGCCCCGACTCGCCCGCAGCAAGCCGAGTGTTTAAAATGCGTTCAGCCACTAGATGTCGCTGTGGCCCCACCGCGAGGACGCGGAGGGAGGTGCTGCGGAGCGCGGCGGCGTGACCACAGCTGTCCCGGCTAACGCTGGAAAGCCGGGTGCTCGGACCAGGCTCCCCAACTGGGGCCAAGCAGCGTCCAAGCAGGTGAAAGGGATGCGCCCTTGTGGCTTGGAGACCCTCGCCCTCGAAAAAGTTTATTAAACAAGCTTGGGAGGGACCTCAAGAATCCTTACATCCTGCCGGGCGCTGTGGCTCACGCCTGTAATCCCAGCACTTTGGGAGGCCGAGGCGGGCGGATCACGAGGTCAGGAGATCGAGACCATCCTGGCTAACACGGTGAAACCCCGTCTCTACTAAAAATACAAAAAAATTTAGCCAGGCGTGGTGGTGCACGCCTGTAGTCCCAGCTACTCTAGAGGCTGAGGCAGGAGAATGGCGTGAACCCGGGAGACGGAGCTTGCAGTGAGCCGAGATTGCGCCACTGCACTCCAGCCTGGGCGACAGAGCGTCTCAAAAAAAAAAGAAAAAAAAAAAAGAATCCTTACATCCAAGCCATCGCTTTAGTTTGAAGCTGGGGAAACTGAGGCCCGCAGTGGGCGGCGCCTGGCACTCCAATCAGCTAGCGTTCAGGGGAGTTGCTAGCTAGAATCCACGAATCTGTCAAGATACAGTCGTGAATCTCCGTGGCCTGTCACACAGTAAGCACTTGGTAACTGCTAACTTGTTGATAAATGAGTAATTGAAGACATCTCCATTTTACAGAGGAGGAAACAGATTCAGATGGCAAAGGCAGGTAAGTAGCTAAGTCAGGATTCAAACCCAGGACTCCGGAGGCTAACAACCCCCACTGTCTCTGTCTTGTCCTGGGCCAGCCCAAGAGCATCTGTTGGCACAGATGTCAAAGGAGATGTTGGAGACATTATCTCAGATCCAGGAAATGAAGGGATTCACAGGTGTGTAGACTCCCGGGAGGCCAGGCTCCAAGCAGGGACCTCAGGTCATCACACCCTGCAGCTGCCGGCTTGGGAGCAGACTAGGGGGGTCCCATCAGCCGTCTGCACGAGGGAGAGAAGGAGCAGTCTCAGCCCAGCCTGCACCCACTGAACCATCCCCTGCCTGGTGAGCAAAGATATTTGATCAGGGGACGGGGGGCGGTGGGTAACCAGGTTCACACATCTGACAAGAGCAGCTGGGGGAGGGTGCGGGTGGGCTGATGGCCCAAGTGCTGCACCCAAAGCTCAAGACAGGGCCCATTTCCCCTCCTAGAGAGGGGGGTCATACTCCCTTCTTCCACCCCTGGTTAAAGTGCTTCCACTCTCTGGTTAAAGTGCTTTCTCCCACACATTCTGTCAGTCTCACTCAATTCTTTCCTCCCTTTGGCCTTTGAGGCTTGATATTGCACAAAAGTTAGTTTTCAGCAAAATGCTTGTAGTTGTCGAATAACTGGAGGGGCTCCCAGTAGTTTAAGACCTGGCTATACCAAAGACTGCCCCACATTCGAATAGGACACAATGGGGGAGTCTCCCCAAGGGGTAGGAAGTTCTAGGGTGGCCTTCAGGGGTGCAAATAAGCCCGAACCCTGGTTCTTGGGGAATGGAAGACTCCAGGATAGGATGGGAGGGTGACCAGGCCTAACTTTAACAAGTCTAGTGGCATTAGAAGGGACTTCAGGGGAGGGGGTCTCAGGGACTTGCATACGGCCTGCTGGAATCCTGACCACCAGTTCAGGGGGCCCTGTGGAGAGCCTGGTGCACTAGAAGTCCTTGGGCAGGCTGTCCTTCAGGTCAGGACAGTCAGGTTGGAGGAGAAGGTAGTCTCTGCCGATGCTGACATGCAGCGATCTCAGCAGGACACTCTGCAGCTCTTGGGGATGTAGGGATCTGCAATGGGGTGGGGCCGACCCTCAGCCCAGCTGACACCAGCAGGTCTGCACCAGTCCAGCCATGCTGGTTGTGAACATATATTGCCAAGCTTCCCTGCCTGTGCCTGTGCCAAGTCTCTCCACCCCCAGATGCCTTCCTGGGCTCCTAGACATTCCTCGCTCCCACCTCACTCTCAGTACAGCTCTGTCCTCTGGTGCACTCCCACACAGTCCCCTCAGGGAAGCTTCCAGCGCATTGGGCTGTCAGCCACTGGGCAGGGGTGAGGCTGGAAGCTGGCTCGAACAGAGCAGGTGTCAGCACCAGCCCTCTTCCCTGCATGTGCCTATGGCCATGGTGCTGCCAGGCAGCTGGCCAGAACTCCTGCAGGGTCCCAAGCACCCTGGCCATCTGCCTCCTCCAGTCTCTCAA